GGGGAGGGGAGGGGGAAAGAGGGCGGGATTGGGGGGGAAAGGCGGCGGTGGGAAGGGATGAATAGTGCGTCGGGACGAATGGAGGGGGGGTTGTGCAGTGGGAGTAGCTTACTTGGCTTCGGAGTGAAGGTGTTCGGGGGGGGGGTTGCCGCGAAGCAGGGGGTTGGGGGTTGGGCGGAGGCGGCATATTTTCTGGGGGGTGTTATTGGGCAATGTAGGGGTTGGGAGAGATGGGTAGGAGGAGAGGGAAAGAGTGATGCCTGGATGAGGAAAAAGGGAGTGATAGGGACGAGGGGGAAAGGTTCTTACCAGGAGGGAGGAGGGTTTTTGGCGGGAACCAAAGAGGAGGAGGGTAATCCGTCGTCAGAGTTCTTAGTCCGCTTTTTGAACGTTCATGGTCGGAATTACGGCAAGATTCGGTCAAGAAAATCGTTGTGTGTGTGCGTTTTTTGCAAATGAACGGGTCGGGGAAAGGTGGGGGCCATGGAGGGCACCTGCTGTTTACCCTCTTTTCCCTTCTCCTCCTCCTCCTCCTCTTCTCCTGTTTGCCGGCGGAGTTGTTGCTGATATTACTTATTTATTGTTTTCTTTTGAAATATCGTAGAAGATTCATTAGTTCTTTACAGTAATTGATCTTGACATTTCTCGTTATGCTGGGTGTAATTGGGGGAAAGGGGAAGGGGGGGGGGCATGGAGGGAGGGCGCCTGCGTTTCCTATGGTTGTTGTTATGGCTCGTTTTGACTACAGTTGATTGATTACTACCTGAATAGAACGCCCGGGCATCGTAGCAGAGTATTTGGGCCGACTTTCAGTCTAGGTACAACGATAAGTACTATTCCGGTGAAGACGGTAATATTTGATTATCTGTTGCTTTTTGCCTGCTATTTTGTGATTACTACCGTCCTTATCATCCGAATACAACGCCCGGGCATCATAGTAGAGTATTCGGGGCAGCTTTCAGTCTAGATACAGCGATAAATACCGGGCGTGTTCTATTCGGGGTGAAGACGTTAGTATTTGATTGCCTTTTTTTTTTTTTATTACCTGTTGTTTGGTTAGTTATTGGTTGATTACGCAAAGTGATTATTTTTTTTTTTCGTTTTTTTTTCCTTGGGGCAATTGGTAGAATACCCCCGTACATTGAGATTTATCATATATGCCAAAGTGTCCTTGAAAGATGTGGGTAGAGCGGAATGCCCTTTTGGTTGCGATCTTTGTGTTATGCCCCTGTCAAGCCGCTGCGCAATTTGCAATCTCGACCTTGCCGTTTGGGCCTCGGGCCTTTTGCAATCGGACCCCTGAAAAGTTGGTAAGTTCCAACCGGAGGGCATTTCGGAAAGTTGGAAGATACCCGGAAGCGGTGTATTGCAAATATGGGATTTCCAACGGGTATTTCGCAATTAATTTTTTTATTATCAGTGGGGCAGTTCGCTTTATTCACACCTTTCAGGGGCATTTGGCATATATCTCCAACTTATGGGTGTATTTTGGAAATTATCCCTTTTTTCCCCCCAAAATTTGGACCATTTTTTTATTTATGCGAGCCATCCTTCGCGCAGCAGCCGTCCTAATCTGTCTCTCTCCGTATCCTTCCAAGTTTGACGGATGTCCGTAAGGAATTGGCGGATGTCACTAAGGACTTTTTTTTCGGATTTCTAATGTCTAATTAAATATTATTTGAGATCGAATAATAGATATTACAAAATATTTTTTGTAATATCTACTACTGTGATTTGATCAACTGCTGTTTGATTACGAATGATATTACAAAATAGTTTCTTCTTTTTTAATACAATATATTTGATTTTATGCTAATTTGCTATTTTTTTTGTTCCTATTGCGGTATCAATCACTTGTATAGCACCGTCGTCTTGTTGTAGTTGTACCAAACCCTAGTACCAGCCCAAAACCAGCCCAAAACAAGCCCAAAACCAGCCCAAAACTAAGCCTTAACAACCCCAACTATCACCCCTCGTACCAACGCTAGTACCGACGCTAGTACCAACCCTAGTAACAGCCCAAAACTAGCCCAAAACTAGCCCAAAACAAGCCAAAAACGAACCCTGCAGCAGCCCAACTATCAACCTTAATACCAACCCTATTACCAGCTCAAAACCAGTCCAAAACAAGCTCAAAATCAAGCCCAAACGGGCCGAACTATCAGCCTTAATACCAACCTTAATAGCAGCCCAAAACAAGCCTAAAACCAGGCCTAAACGAGCCCAACTATCAACCCTAATACCAACCCTACTACCAACCGTAACGCCAACCCGACTACCAACCCTAGTACCAACCTAATACTGATCATGCCATTCAACCTTGCCACCAACACTAATACCGCTCCTAATCTTCCAACCCTAATCCCAATCAGGCGTGGCAGAGGCGATGGCGTCCGTTGGTTTTTAAAGGGCGGATGTACTGCGATGATTTTTTTTTTTTTTTTACCGAGGTAAAAAAACACACTTGGTAAATTTTACTCATCTGCTTCGAGTAGATGTCGAACTCAGGTATGTATTATTTTAACAGTTCACCGGTGCACCGAGTGAGGCCAATTGTTCCCCCCCCCCCCCCCCCTCTAGAAAGGTGAAAAAAGACACTTGAAAAAACAGTAAATAAGGAGAACCCTTTCACTTGAAACAAAAACAGTAATCAATTGCCGACATGGAAACACGAGACGGTTCTTTGTACCTTTTTTTTGGCTTTTTTTTTTTCAAGCGAGAGGGTTTTTAAACATCACTTGGAAAAACAGTACTTAAGAAATACCCTCACTTGTAAAAAA